CTTTGAACTTTTTTAGAGGTGGTGTCAGTTTTGGTGACCTTGTGACCTGACCTGACCTGACCCGAACCCCCCAAAAAAGGACATGATGTAAAAATGTTGAATAAACAGCTATACAAAGTTTCAGGGCGCTAACTCAAGTGGTTTCTGAGTTATCGCTGAAAAACCACAGGGGGGGGGGGCAAAATGCCCCCCCCCCCACCAGGGCGAAGGTTAAGCGACAATGCACGGATTCAAAATGAACGTTAATCCTTCTCACAGCTAGCCTGCCCAACGTGTTTCCACTTCCATCGCTAGTGACCGCGCCTTTAGGCCATGTGACCGGAAACCGGCAGCTAAACAGCAGATATTCTAGGGGCGCGGAAAGCTTGAAGATTGGCTGTGCTACAATGCTATTCCTAGTGGTTTTGATGCTTTTAAACCTGGCTAGATTGGCTCCATACGCTCCGCAGATCGGCAAATTTGTAGTTAAGCAGCCCTGAAGGCACCGGCCAAGTTCCACCGCTGGCCCCGGCCAAATAAGACACAAGGGACCAAACACAATTTCACATGTTGGAACGTTTCTAATCTTAAGTCTAGAAACGAACGGTTAATAAGACATGACACGCCGAATTCTGGCCTATAATGGGCTCTAGAAACTGGTCACAGACCAGAGGTCATTTTGGTCAGGTTCATGAAATTTTCAGGGTAGGTGTGAGCTTTCAATTGCAGATGGCCTGAAATCCAAACTTATCCTGACTCCTGACCGCATGGGCATTTATTTACTTATGGGGAGAAAAATAACTTACGGCACAGAAAGCTTCGCTGCTATCCGCCACTATTTACACGAGTTATTCAGGAAAAACCAAGGAGAGGGGTTCATTTTATCACCCCTAATAAAAAGTAGGGTTTCCATTAAAAGTAAACGGTAACATCGATAAATAACATCTGTATGTTTCTCAATTCAATATGGTGAGTTCTTTCGTAAGTTTAATAAATGCATATTAGGTAATCAATATTGTAAGTTGACATTGCCACGAAATTTCCATTCTACTTTATCCCGTTCGTTCTAGCCCCTCTCGCCTGCCCCCCCCCCCCCACACCACCACCACTACCACCAAACAGGCTGAGTTGGCTGAGGCGAGGCTGGCTGAGGCGAGCGCCTCCCCTCCCTTCATGCCAAACAGCGCCTGGCTGTCGTGACCTCTGGCCTCACCGCCCGAAGGCTCGCCCGCTGTCCAAGGACGCCCTTCGCGGGCCGCAGTGATAGCCTCTGCCGAGTCCCGCCTCTATCCACCGTTCACCACGCGCTGGATTCATTCATGCCTCTGTGTTTCAGCGCCCTACCCGTTGGGTGGCGCCACTGTAGTCATAGGCGACTGTAGGGAAGCCGCGGTCAGAATGCCCCAAACGGCGAATTTTGAGGTTTTCTTTTAATTTCTCCGAAACTAGCCGGCATACGGTCAAACCTTTTTCCATGCTCATGGGAGGGAGCCATACGAATAAATCGGTCACATCTTCAAGCCTACAAAGCGGAAGACGAAAAAGCTATAGCCGGAAAGACAAAACCTACGCTTAAAACCCGCGGGGCCTGTACATTGTCTTACTACAAAGTAAGTTATATTTAATGTCAGGAACGTATATTGCCTTACTACAAAGTAAGTTATATCTAATGCCAGGTGCCAGTGTATACCTGTTTTCGAGTGACTACGGGGAAGGTCCCAACTAAACATTGTGTGAAAAATTAATGAAGTGTTTTTGTGGAACTCTCCAGAGTATGATGCGTTATATCTGTAATATCCGAAGTGCTAATATTTTGTCTCGCCCCTATGTTGCAGCGCCAAGCCTTTGATCGGAGGGCGCATTGGCTGCAGGCTGTGGCGTCTGGAACGTCCCAGCGCTGCTCGGAAGACGCGTTGGCATGGTGCCGTGAAGACATTCCAGCCTTGGCCGCAGAAGGCGGTGGTGGCGGGCACGGTTCGTCGGAAGGTCATCTCAGGCTCAAAAGAAACGATATATACCATTCGAAAGCTTACGGTGAGCTGAATCCAAAAATGTATTTTTTATCAAAATCGATCGATGGCCTTTTTTGAAAATTGCGTTTTTCTAAAAACTTAATAATCTTTTATTCAACGGGCTGTCCCGGACATTCTTGAAAACATAAACATGTATTTTTGAGTTCCAGTGAAAGCTGAACGCCAAAAGAACAATATTTAGCGAAGCAATATTTCCAAACATTAATATGCGTCTCCCACAGCCAAAAATAAGGCGCAATCACAGAGCTCAGTGTCACGATGGACCAAAGTCAGCCACACAGAAGCGTGAAATGACCCTTATCGACTCGCAGACCCGGCGCTCTCGGCCCGCCTGACCGGCCACGGAAAGAACGTTCGGCTCTCGTTCTACTAAACAAATGTCAAAGTTGTCAGTTTAACTGTCCACATCGCTATTAAAGCTATTCAGGATACCTGTGAAGAAAATTCATTGTTCTGTCATCTTCACATCATGCATTAATTTGCATCTGTTTATGTCTACTTTGCTCAATTGAGCTTGGTATCATGCCCATATAAGGAAAATTGGACGCGCTGAAATGTCAGAGGCTGCACCGGCCTCAGCTCGGGTGGAGTGGGGGTAGCGCCCGGCGGGGCAGGGTAACCTTTGACCGGTCGCACGGCCGAGCAGCTGTCACCAGTACAGCCTCTGACAGTGAAACCCCGCTCACTTCCCCTGCGCGGGCACTGATCGCAGCTGGATGGAACAAAACATGTATAAGAAAAATGTAAATTAAAGCATGTTGTAAATCAAGCAGAACAATGAATTTTCTTCACAGGTATCATGAGTAACTTTAATAGCGATGTGGACAGTTAAAGTGGCAAATATTACATTTGTTTAGTAGAACGAGAGCCGAACGTTCTTTCCGTGGCCGGTCAGGCGGGCCGAGAGCGCCGGGTCTGCGAGTCGATAAGGGTCATTTCACGCTTCTGTGTGGCTGACTTTGGTCCATCGTGACACTGAGCTCCGTGATTGCGCCTTATTTTCGGCTGTGGGAGACGCATATTAATGTTTGGAAATATTGCTTCGCTAAATATTGTTCTTTTGGCGTTCAGCTTTCACTGGAACTCAAAAATACATGTTTATGTTTTCAAGAATGTCCGGGACAGCCCGTTGAATAAAAGATTATTAAGTTTTTACAAAAACGCAATTTTCAAAAAAGGCCATCGATCGATTTTGATAAAAAATACATTTTTGGATTCAGCTCACCGTCAGCTTTCGAATGGTATATACCGTTTCTTTTGAGCCTGAGATGACCTTCCGACGAACCGTGCGGGAAGCGGACACCACGGGGCGGTGACCAGCGTGTACAGAATGTGTGCATGTGTAAATACATTTGATACAGGTTATGTGTTGAGATGCTTTGTGTTTTATTCCGTTCCTACAAATACGCCCCCCCCCCTCCCCTCCATCAACTGCATTCATAAGGGTTGCCAAGTATGGTATATTGCGCTGCGTTATTTCTTCATTTCTTCTTTCTTTCGATTTTTTTTTTTGCGATACGGTGGGTTTACGGTTACAGTTTTCAGATTTTTTTATAATTGAAACAAAAATATTCAATGGGTACCTATTATAATTTATAATACTAAATAAAAGATGAGTACGTTGGGGACGGGGTACTTCGAACCTGAGTTTTTCAGTTTTCTGAAACACTCCACTGTGCTTTAAAAAAGAATTGTTTAGATAAAATTTACATGATATATTCAATGCCTTACAAGATAGCGGGCGGGCTATGGCACAGGCCATAGCCCGTCTCAGGCCAGTCTCAGCAGCGTTTTAGGTGTGTGTGACTTGTGAGGCAAGTAGGCAATTATCTAAGTAGTGTGAGAGTGGACGGCCGGGTTCTTCACCACGGGTTGGACCGTTGAGGGATGAATTCATGGCTGCCTATTCAGTCTTTTGCTCCCTAATTGGTTAATTAGAACCAAGACTGGCAATCATCTGTGGGTCACATCGGCTTAGGAGTGAAGCCTCTGCCATTTCTGCAGGATCAGCCGTTGTGTGCCCGAATAAGATGCAGTATTAACCCTCGCCCGTATAGGGGGGGGTCGAACGGACCCCCCCCCCATGGTTTTTCGCGAATAACTCGCGTAAAAAGCGGCCGATCGCGACGAAACTTTCAGTACCATCGCGTTAATCAATTTTACACCTACCCTGAAAATTTCATGACCCTGACCCCAATGACCTTTGACCTGTGACCTACTTTTCGAGACCATGTTTGGCCGGAATCGCGATTCGGCGTATGTCGGCTCGCATTAGCCGCGCGTTTGCAGACTTTTCTTGGTTTCAAGCGTTCAAACATGTGATATGATGTTGCCCCCATGCATTAGGGTGGGTGTCAAGGTCACCTGAAGGTCAGGTCAGGTCATTGACCTTTGGTGACCTCGGTTCACTTTTTCGAGTTTTACATGTTTCTAGGCCAGTTTTTGGAGCTGAATTCGAATTTAGCAACCATATGAACGTTTACGAAGTAGTTTTGTACCTTCGTAACATGTTACGAAGCTGTCAGAGGCGGTTGACACCTACTAGGAATACCCGGCAGGACCCCTACTGGTTGACCTGACCTGACCTGACCCGACCTGGACTAAATTCATAAAGACATCATCTGTGATCAAAACTAACATGATATTCGTGATCAGCGCCCTGAAAAACCCCATAGCAGCCACACTTTACGACGTTCTAACAGGTCCCGATTTTCCCGATTTTTGGGTCATTGACCTGACCTGCAAGGTCAACCAATGACCTAGGATCTTAAAATTAGGTATCATCGGCTTCCTCTCGTCACGGGCAACACGCTCGTTTTTTCCGCGAAGCTCTAGCTCGATCAGGGGCGAAACGGCAAGGGGGGGGGTCCAACGGACCCCCCCTTATACGTTCGCGGCTGGAAAAACACCAATACGGGCGAGGGTTAAGGTCGCCGTCCACTGCACTTTTATCCGCCGAAAATAAGCGCTTATTGGCAGAATTTACTACAGAGGCAATGGTAGGAGCAGAATCTGTAGACGCCGAAACGGCCCAGCCGCCGACAACGTCTTTCGGCATGTTTATCTTTTCATCGCTTACTTTACGCTCTTAATTTAGTGGCGGAAAAGTTGAATCGTGGGAGCTTTTTCTGCCGCTGTTGACGCCGACTGCGCAAGATTCGAGACCATACTATTATCTTTTGCGGTGAATAAAGACGGCGGCATCGGGATTTCTTGAAATGAAGTGAGTATATTTTATATATTGATATAGCAACAACCTGTAAAAACCCAATTGAGGTTTATTTTCATGCTATAAAGGGGAAAAATCATTGTGCAAGGATTTTCTATTCATCCTCCGCAACGACATCTCAGCATTTTTTCGAATTATTTGTGTCTTGTAGACTTTCAAATGATAGCATTTTGTTGACAATTTTATTATATGCATGACATAAACCAGGGGTGGAGATCTGTCAAAATTTCAAGGGGTTCCAGGCTGGGCAGATGGAGGCGGGCTGGATGCAGTACCATTGACTTACATAGCAGTAATTTGTTTTCAGGGGGGGGGGGTCCTGACCCCCCGACCCCCCCCCCCCCCCGAGATCTCCACCTCTGACATAAACTCATCATGGGCGTGGTATGCTGTAGGTACTTATTCCTTGGTAGGTGGCAGGCTGATTTTGAATCATAGATCATCTCAAATAAATTCACAATATTCCAGACGCAGGCAGCCTTCTGCTGGGTTCCACTCAAAGGTGCCACTGAATGTTGATATACCTATTTCTGAATGGAACTTGGGATAGGTAGTCTGGGATGAGACTGTAGGTATCTAATCCACTCCAGATCTGGTATGTCCAAGTAGATTATTTCCCCAAATTTATTTATGTCGGCATGGGCATTCCTTCGTTATCAAATTTGCATTGATCCATATCCATTTCTGTAGCACATTTGAATAAAAGTAAAGTAATAAAATGTGTTTCTTAACAACTGTGAGTCTGCCAACCTGGAAAAACACGTTATGCCGAATATGTCCAGCGTAGTGGCAGGATTGTGCCAAAAATTTCAGTGCACGTCCATCTTAACTTCGCATGCACCAAGGTCAGCACATGGTGGCTGCTGAAATTTTCGGCGCAGCCTGTGACTGGCAAGTTACATGGCAGTTTCATTGCCAGTCATATTTTAGGTTGAGTGATTGTGTATCAGAGGTTCAGCATTTTGCCTGAAGCCAAAGATGACCACTCTAGGTATTTTTTTTTTTAACATTACAGACCAGTGTCCCAAAAATGTATTTTGGTGTGAGTGTCAGAGGGGAAAATTCTTCACCTAAAAGGAAATGAGATTGGAAAATTGCCGGTCAGATAATGGGTCCAAAAAAGGTGGGAAAGAGACCAAGAGCATAAAATGATGTACAAGTGTATTAGAATGTAGGTCTATGATATAAAGCGAACACCTGACGCAAATATTTAATCTAAGAAAATTGGGAGTGCAAAATTGCTCCTAGAAATTGGAGGTAAGAGTGAAAATGGGTTTCATTTCGGTGTCATTTGCCACCCAAATCGACAAATTTTGGGACACTATCATTACCAAAATCTTTCCCAAGGTAATGTCATTTTTAAATGCTGGTATTTCGATGACGTGTGTGTGTGGGGGGGGGGGGGATCTTAGATTTCTCAAGCTCAAAGATTTCTCAGACTTGCCTCCAACTTATAACAACATCTGTCAAAAATTATCCCACTGCTGTTGCTCTGACATCTTCCTTTTCTGTCACGATAGGCCCGGAGACAGCCAGCTGGTCGAAGCTGTTCGTAAGCGGGAGGCACTTTGGAATGTGCGGCAGGCAGCATATCACCAGCGCAAGCACAAGCTGCGGCTATGGGCGGAGGTGGCGGCAGAGACCGGACGAAATGGTGAGCATTTCTGAAATGCATTTTTACATTGACTTTGTTTTGGGCGTATAATGGTCGTTTCACAAGACGATCTATACAGGTCTGGAGACATCAATGAGCTCGCCTAGCCACCACCCCACTGACATCTGGCGGAGCTTGTAGACACCAACCGATAGAGGGCAACACCAGCGGCCCCACCATGCGTAAACGCACGCACGTCACACAGCATGAAGTCGGCGGCGCCATACATAGGCGGAGCCTTTGTATGGCGGTACCGTAGATCAGTTGGTAGAGCGTTGGACTTCGTGTGGCGAGAGCACGCGTGCCCGGTTATAACAGTTCGGGTTCGAAGCGCGACGGGCGCTTGATATTTATGGGCCTACTGACAGGTATGGTTGCGGTTGGTGGCAGGCCGTAGCCAGGTCACCGCAACAAGCTTCGCTTAGCGGTGGCCCTGTCCTTGTGAAACCTTCCTATCAAAAAGGTTCGGACTAAATTTATTTTAAAATAGCCTTTCTTGGGAAGTTTGTGGGGCAGAAATTCGTGTCCAATTGTTATGTTAGTTAAGGTGCAACACTGAATCTATTGTTTTCATTACAGAGATAATATTTTGCACTACAAAGACATTTCAAAGCCCCTCAATGCGAAAAAGATTGGTCTGCTAAGCAACAAATTCCTACAACTGAGCTTAAGTTGGTGGGGGCCAAACGCTTATTGGTGGGGCAAAATGGCAAGTTGGTGGGGTAGCCGCCCCACCAACTGAATAGGAAGCTCCTCCACTGGCGCCATATCTAATCCAATCACCATCTGTCTGTATGACGTCTAATCTGTTTTTTCTTCACATTTATATTAAGATTTCTGACGAACTGTCCACCATTGTTTAGACTTAATCATCATTATCATCGAAATCAAAACGCATGTATGTATGTATGTATGTATGTATGTATGTGTGTATGTATGCATGTATGTATGTACACATGTGAATGGATACCAGGATAGAGATGTAGTAAAAAATAAAGGTATACTAAATACTTCGTTTTTTCAGTTGCTGATGTAAAGTCAAGATGGAAGTCCATCCGGGACTATTTTATGAAGTGTCGGCAGGCCCCGCCGAGCGGCTCTGCTGCCAGCTCGACCACCGACGGCGCCACGCAGAGGGAGCTGAGTTTCCTCAATGATTCTGTCAAGCCAAAGCCGTGAGTTTTTTTTACTCCTACCGTTTTTCCCTTTCGTAATAGATAAATTCGTACAATGCGTGCATTTTCTGTATTGTTTATTGCCAGTTGTCAGCTTGCTTAGCTCAGATATGTAAATGGATATGAATGTATAGTTTTCTATAGTTGTAGATGTTATGTGGGACAAGAGCTGATTGTGACCCCCTCTATAAAAAGTTAATTGTTTTTAAAACGGGCTTCGCTGAGGGCTTCATAGTACAACATTTGGGTTGCAATATGTAGGTTAGATGAAATGACCTCCCCTGCTTGAATAGCTTGTTTTCGCGTCACTGTTCTGTATTGAAATTAGTTATCAATAGTTCTGTACATAACATATTTTAGTACGCAATAAGATTTGTAACGTTGGACGGAAAGTTAGATTACACGTACGGGGTGCGGTCTACTCCGTCTGGTGACGGTCGGCCAACTGAACGCCCCATCCACAATGAACTTTCCCTTTCCCCGCTGAACATTTTATCGTCCAATGCTGAATCACGCCATGCTTGCCTTATGACGGTCCTTTCACAGCGTGACAACAAACCTGACGGCGCCACATGCTGATCCTGATCCCTTATCGCTTGTAGAGGATCCTCACTTGGTAGGTTTGATGCTTTGCGCAGTCGATACGGTTTGCATGACGCGCTCTTGTAATAATGAACTTTGTGTAGTAGCGTAATCCTGTCAGGTAGCTACTTATCTTGCAATTCGTCTATTGTGGGTTGTGCAATTTAACAATCAACTGACAAGGTGAAACCTCCAATACTCCAAAACCTCCAAACTTAAAAAGCAACAACAAGAAGAGGAGGGCGTTTATGTCTAACTAACTTGTAACTATATAGTTATGTCGTTTAGGCGGAACAGGACTGAAAGTACGAGGGTACACAGATTACCGTTCTGTATACTCAGCGCCACGGTCAAAGCCATGCTAATCTCTTTTTCAGGAGAACCCTGACATAGAAGAAGAACACTCTGGTGATCCATGGCTCGTATTCTCGGAAGGTCAGTTAACAGTTTCTTACTAAGGCTATAATGTTTACGTATGTTATGCAGTATGATGGAGATACTTTTTATGTGTATTATGCATTTTTAGAGTTCTTGAGATCACAGCGAAGGTTTTATGTATGTAGGCTAGCCAAACGTACTTGATGTGTGTTGACCGTAGATCATTAAAGCATCAACAAATACCAAAGCTTGTTTCGGAAAGAAAATAGCAGGTGTGATTGATGTACTAATAGCTCTATCTAACTTGATGCTTGTTTTTACTAAAGATGAAAAATAGAATTCGAAGGTAATGCATTAAATGCCCCTTCCCACAAGAGTCGAAATTATTATGTACCTTATACACAAAAACTAGAGAAAAGCGGTCGTCGATTCCCGACTCTGCAAATGGATAATTTTTCTTCTTTCACGACAGTGGACGACGATTGGGAGCAGGACTCCGCACCCCGCGCGCCGCCTGCTGGCCCGCAGAGGGCCTCTACACCTCGGGAGCCATCTGCTGATCGCCCGCAGCAGGCCTCCGCACCCCGCACGCCGCCTGCTGATCGCGCGCAGGAGGCATCTGCTCCTCGGGCGCCGACCGCTGGTCGCCCGCAGCAGGCCTCGGCACCCCGCACGCCGCCTGCTGATCGCGCGCAGGAGGCATCTGCTCCTCGGGCGCCGACCGCTGGTCGCCCGCAGCAGGCCTCCGCACCCCGCACGCCGCCTGCTGATCGCGCGCAGGAGGCCTCTGCTCCTCGGGAGCCGACCGCTGACCGACCAGAGCAGGGCGAAGTCCAGCCCCAGAGGCCTCGCCGGCGTGCCCGTCGGGTGGCTGCCGACGAAGGGACCAGGGAGATCCTGCAGCGGGCGATTGAGCAGGTGCAGCAAGCCGTCGAGAGGCTAGAGGACGATGATGCCATCTTTGGACATTTGGTGGGTCAGGATATCAGGCAAGTGGCAACTAGAAAGAAGTCCCTTCTTAAAATCCAAATCATGCAGCTGATCCACGCTGCGGCATATGAGGAATGATATCCAGTCCTGCAACAGCTACAGGGCCCGGCATTTGTTTTGCTTTAAATCAATGCTGTTTTTAATGTGTTATAGAATCGCTAGGCTTATGTTTGATAATGTAAGCAAGCGCTTTTCTCAGGCTCATTGTTAATAAGATAATGATAAGAATCAGTAGCCTTATAATAAAGCTCAATGTATTGCCGAATATAATTAAACCAGAATGAGACGACAGTTTCGGGCGTAGCCCATTATCAAGTCTGACAATTCCGGATTTGAAATTTCAAATCCGGAATTGTCAGACTTGATAATGGGCTACGCCCGAAACTGTCGTCTCATTCTGGTTTAATTATATTCGGCAATACATTGAACTTTATTATAAGGCTACGGCTTTTCATCATTATCTTTGGTTATAGAATTGCCGTAATTATTTATTTGCACATCAATTTTGTACTTGTGTTGATTCCAATTCATTACCGTTCAAATTCATTACACGCATTGTGGTTGTATCTGATCACGCGTGGTTGTATCTGATTATTTTTTGCATATTTCGTCATGTCTTTTGCATGCTTTACATTTGTTTTATTCGGTTTGATCTTTGTAACGTAATAAATGTGGGCGATTAAAATAAACGTCTTGCATTGGAATCTCATCGTATTATATTTTTGATCGCAAGAAAAGGAATGCTGCTCTTGCATAGTCACAGATAACATGTAACAATATAGATAAAAACGTAACAAGGGCACGTAACAAGCAGTTTCAGTCGTAGCCGCCGAACAGCGAAGAGCGCCGTGCAAGGCGCCGAACAACAACAACAGGAGAACACGGCGGCTGCAGACAATCGTCGTCGTAGGACTCGCAGACGGCAGAACTTCCCCATGCCCTAGACGGCAACCACGTCCTCCTGTAGCGCCAGCAGACGTAGGTGGCGAACAGCTGCACTTGCAGCGCAGCTGACTGCAGCTCAGACAGCGTGCTCCATCTGCCATGGTACAGCGCCCTCACCGGCGAAGTAGCGCGCGAACTGATCGCGCACGTGCTCGGCAGCTCGCGTGTAGTTGTTGGCCCCGAGACGGTGGAGCGCGTCAGCCAGCCCGGCCGGGGCGGTGGCTCGATCTTGCTGGTCGAGTTCAGGCCTTCCCTGCAGTGCGACGACTTCGTCCGCGTGGAGGAAGTTGTGCAAAATGCACGTGGCGTGCACGATCTTGCAGGCGTGCTGGACGTTCACGTTCATTGGCCGACGATATATCCGCCAGGTTTGTGCGAGAATGCCGAAAGCATTTTCCACGATGCGACGAGCGCGCGAGAGGCGGTAGTTGAATACCGTGGCTCGGACTCCAAGTCTTGCCTCTGTGCGCCCGGGATACGGCCGCATGATGGCGGTGGTGAGCGGGAACGCCTCGTCGGCGACGATGACGTGCGGCATGATGGTGTTGGTCCCGGGCAGGGCTTTGGGCGGCGGCAGCTGCAGAGAGTCGTCTCGGAGGGCGGCGGCCAGGTCGCTGCGGCGGAATACGCCGCCGTCCGATTCCCTCCCGGCACTTCCCACCGACACGTACACGAATCGGTAGTCGCCGTCCACAGCGGCCAGGAGAACCGTGCTGAACGTGTGTTTGTAATTGAAATATTCGCTGCCGGTGTTGGCTGGCGCCTGCAGGACGACATGTTTTCCATCGAGAGCTGCCACACAGTTTGGGAAGTTCCACCGGTCTCGGAAGGTGGCCTCGCTCCTCTCCCATGTGTGGCGAGTAGGGGAGGCCAACACCTCCGGACCGACGGCGGTGATGATCGCGGCACACGTGTCGTAGACTATGGCGCGGACCGTCTTCTCTCCCAGGCGGTACGTGGGAGCTAGAGCCGAAAACTCCATCCCTGACGCCAGATACCGAAGGGTAACGGCCAGGCGCTGCGCGGGGTCGATGGGCTCTCTGAAGTTGGTGTGTTTTCTGGCGATGGTTGGCCCGATCTTGCTAAGAAGGAGATCGAAAGTGTCGCGGGTCATCCGGAAGTAGGTGCGGTGCCGCTCAGGGTCGTTGGTACGCAACTCTTGTACGAGGTTGAAGAATTCCCCCCGAGCTCGGCGGCGGCGGTTCACGTCAGCGACCCAGCTCTTGTGCCGACGTTTCGGACGGCACTCCTCGTCATACTCCATCATCAATAGCTCGGCTTGGGCCAAACTTAAGCCGACGTCCATTCTCGATACATAAAGTATAGAAGCAATAACAAGAAGATATATAAAGTATAAAAGCAATAACAAGAAAAGGTACTACCTGAGATGTTTTGTTTACATTTGTTTTCCTGACGGCGGTATTTGCTTCGTATGTAACCCAAGAGTATTAAGAAAAATGTCGCGTGCTTATTTTCGAAGGATTTTATTTGTTTATCTATTGCATCATGGTTTACCTGCTAAATCATTTTTTATATTTTTATTTTTTTATTTTCCTACAGAATTACTATCATTCTATGACTTCAGGTGGCTTGCGCACCCTATATTAACAAAACACTTGATACTAACATAAGCGCGTACTTTCAGCACCTCTGCCGATGCTTTTTGTGCAGTGGACGGCGTCATTTTAGGAAACGCCGAAAATACGCGCTTATCGACGATTACGCGCTTACTTTCGGCGGATGCCAATGTGCAGTGGACGGCGACCTTTAAGGTAAGTTTGTCACGGTGAGTTTTCCGTAAGTATTTGAGAGCTACAGATCCTCTGGTGGCAAAGACAAGGTTGAAGGCATTTTGTATAAAATGTTTCTCATTTATCTGAGACGGTTTACATTTAGGCGGATGCGTCTCCAGCGACAAAATATTCCTTATCCCAGCCTCTTTTAATTTAATGGCCTTTTCCTTTAACCGCCTGGAATGCCGCTCCAATGCTTGGTGGACAATGGAATGCCAATTTGTCACGCCTATTAAACCAAGAGTTGGAATAAAATTATATTTGATGCATAGAGCAGTCTTTTTACTACAACATATTACTCTTCATTTTTGAAAGACCGCATAGTTTTTGCGCAATGCGTTTTCTTAGAATCCGCTGCCGCCGCTGGACTGGAAATGGCGTCCGTCAGCAATGCTAAAATCTGATCAGAGGTCCCATCAGTTTTTCTAATTTTGCCACGCTGTTTGCCACTCTTTTGTGGTTCACGTGGCACCATTAGAAAGACAATAAATTTTTGCATGTACTGTTAGTCTTCATTTTAGAAAGATGATTTCATTGTCGAGATATCTTCGGTTGAATTCGTGGGCTGCCGCGTCCCCATTGACTTAACGCGGCCGCCGGCGGGCCGGGCCGACCGGCCGCCGCGGCGGCCGGCCGGCCGGAATATGAGACCGGCCGTCCCGCATCGACCAGTTCTCTTACGGGTCTCTTACGGTAATACGGGTCAAGTCAAGCCATGATTCTTTTTTCGTAGATGTAAAATTGACTAGCTTCAGGGTACTAAAAGTTTCGTCGCGCTCAGCCGCTTTTTGCGCAAGTTGTCCGTGAAAAAAGGGGGTCCGGTCAACCCCTCCCTCTTAAAGCGCGAGGTAAATTTTCAATGTTTTTAAAAACTGCTTTCTTTGGCTCGCTTACATACCCGTCCCAAATTTGATGACCATGATATTGGTACAGTGCGTCACACCTTGGTCCTCGGGTCAAGCCACGGTAAGCACCTGGCCCGAGCACTGGCAGCCGCGGGCGCGCCAGACGATGTCCGAGCGTTTGGGATTCCCGGAGAACGGCTCGGCTGCACCATGGATTACTTACTGGATTGGCAACTGGCCGCATTTTATCGACCACTGCGTTCCCTGCCATCTAGCGGCGGGAATATCGACATGGAGGAGAAACGTATTGCGGCAATTACAGTGCCACGCGTTTGCTGTATGTGAGCACGTGTTTCTTTGTGTTGTTGCGCCGGAAAGTTCATCCTAGAAGCGTTTTTATTGACTTTATTTATTATATTGTGAAGCAGGCTCTAGTCAGAATAGGTATCGTATGCATTCGGTGAGTATTCGCTTTGACTGTTTTTTCCCTTGTGAGTGAGTGGTGAGTGGGATTGAATGAAGAAGTGAGTGGGATTGGTCACACTCACGAGACAGGTCTTTCTCTGACCTTTCATTTGTAATTTTGCGTTGGATTTAAAAAAACAGCAGTATTAATAGGAAATTTTTGGATGATTAAGCCAATTTGGTCTGTTCTCAAGCAACATATTCGCCCAAAGTATCCATAGATGTCGTAAGTAGCCCAAAACAGTTCATTGTGATTGCTCAGTGTAGATGTAGAAGGCAAGGCAATGGGGTATGGGACAGGCACCTAAGGTACCACTTTTTTGGTATTAAACGATAGGAAATTAAAAATAATAATGTAAGTTTCCTAAAAAAAAAAACTTAGAAACTTTAAATTTCTTTGGAAATTGATTAAAATGATAAGGAAAAACGGTGATCTGATTGGCTGAAAAAGTCGTGACGTCACGACCTCAGTGATTTGCGCATGTCGTGTGCTGAGACATAAACGGCGTGGCAGAGACAATCGTTTTTGCGTTGATTTGTATAGGCACTTCGGTGTTTGATGTTGGGAGAGGTTAGGTCGTTCGTGCGTTATTATCTCCAGTTAAATCTACTTTGAGGTTCAGTGTATATTTCTAGAGGATCCCAGTATGACTAGTAAACGTAGCAATAACAGCTTAGAGCCTGGGTTTGAGAAGGTAACTCCCTTGAACTTGCCATCTCTCGGGGAGTCGGCGTTGGCTCGATTTCTGAGCACTGCTGACGAGTTCGTCTCGGCTGAGTTTCGGTCGAAGAAGTTGCAGAAGTAAGTTAAATGATTATTTCATGTGCATGCACAGGGCCGGCGCCACAGATTTCGGACTGCGGGGGCAGCTTGTCCCGATAAAGGGCCCATGGCGGAAAGGCCCAAGCTAACCTATACTCAAAATCCGTAAACTCCTGGGATTTGGCCCATTATTTTTCGAGAAGGGCCCAAATTATGCAAAAAATGCACGTTCCTGCCATTTTTTTTAAAGGGCCCGGCTGGCAACTGGGGGGGGGGCAGCTGCCCCCTGCCCCCCCCCCCTGTGGTGCCGGCCCTGTGCATGCAGAGGTTTTGTTACCTGTTCATTTGCAGTTATCAGGGCATATCAGTCCTGATTTTGGTCAGAAATGGGACCAATACTATAAGGAGAGATCCACTGCTGGATTTTAATAATTCGGTTGGGAAAACCGTGGTCATCTGTTCCATTTTTGGAAGCTTCCATTTTTTAGTACGCTGTTCCAAAAATGGAGAGGCATCTTCCAAAAATAGGTAGGTAAGTTCCATCCTTAAATGGGTATGGAAATGACCTTTCATATTACAGCCAGAGCTGCGGACAAATTTAACATTTTAACAAATTTAACATTCTCGAATATAGCCACCTACCTTATTGAAAAGAGCACTTGTTACTTTCAAAAATCAATCTTTACCAGCCCCATTAAAATATCACTTTTTAGTTTTTACTAAGCTCACATCTCTGACCATGTGGCTAGTTGTCGCCCCCACAGGATTGTTTGAAAAATGCACATAGCACAGATTGACCAGAGAGCTGGGCTTGGTATTATATATTCCCGACCGGGGCTGGGAAAATGCGTTTTATTCACCGAGGCTTTTGTGCGGAGGACCGAGTGCCGGTA